AAAAATCAATTAATTTTAATATTAATATCAGAAAATCAATAATTTTTTTTTTTGTGTGTGTGCTGACCGGACCGGTCAGACCGGTCCGACCGGACCGGTTCGGTCAGCTGAAAACCGACAAAAATCAGCAGAAAAAAAAACCGAGTTTTTAAATTAAAAAAAAATTAGATTTTCTGAAATATTCAAAATATTTAATTAATATTAAACCACCCAATTTGATAACACCAAATATTCAACAATTCAACAAATCGAAGCATGCTTTCGAAAGCGATAAACACGTTGACAAATAAACGATTAACCCGTGGCTCTGATACCACTGTTGGGGATTGTGCATGTATACGCAGCGGAATTTAAAATTTTTGATCGAACTAGTTTCGATTACATGCATAAACTAATCACATAGCCAACGTACCTTAACGCTTCCGCCATACACATGGTAATTATCGATTTTTATCAAAACATGTAAAACCGAAAAATATAAAACATGCTAGTTCACATAATTTCGTAAATCATGATAACAATTAATTCACAACATCAACATGCTCGCAAATAAATCATAAATCCAAATTTATAATATATTACGAGAGATTTCGGTTTACCTTTTTGAAGCGTGGGATTTCGACGAATCGAAATCTAGAACCGAACACGTACAAGCTGCGAATTACCAATCCTCGGGGCAGCGACTCACGGCTGGAGCAAGCTGGTCCAGCAGATGACAGACGGCGGCGCGTGGCACACACGGTGGCGGCGCGTGCGACTCACGCGAAAGGCGCGTGCTGCGTAACGGCGGCGGGGCAGCGGTCTTCCTCTCCTCCAATCAGGTTTCACCTCGTATATTTTGACCCACTCGAACTACAGCACTAGATGTAAACGAGTTAGATAAACAACAAAAAATAAACGAGGGAGTAGAGAGGAGAAAACCGGCGACAAGCAGCGGCGATCGGCGGGGCAGCGGCGGCCGAGAGAGCTGGGCGGCTAGGGCTGGACGGCTAGGGCCTTTTAGTGTAAAAATCTGATCTCAAACTCTCTTTTGAGGTCTATTTATACTAGGGTTCTCAACCCCAGTGGGCTTAAGTCATTGGGCCTGACCCACTGATCCATTAAGCCCATTGCCTTGTCGTCCTCGTTTCTCACAAACGATCGTTCACAAAAATATAACAAAATTATATTTGTGACGAGCTCAAAGTCCTCGTCGATACGAGTGTCTCTTCGAAATTTCCAATTTCCAAAAGTGGAAACTTCTAATTCTGTGGACCTGCTAAATCGGGAAACTTCTCAATTTAGAAAGTTCACTAAATTCCGCATGTCTCTTTCTCTACGTTCATTCCAATTCGTAATCCACAATTACGAATCTTGGATTCAATCATATTGACATCCAATCGTTCAAAGATTAACATATTAATCTATGCTTGTTGTTATCAAGGATCTATATTACACGAGAAGTGTGACCCTCAATGGTTCAGGTGTACGCTAGCCGTGGGCTCACAACTCTTTGTGATTCGAACAACACATTGTTCTCATGTGAACTCCTCCCAAGAGTCCCGATTAAAGTAAAACTCATTTTATTTAATCGCCGATCAAATCGGTGCCCAACGAATCCAGATTGGCGCCTAGCAACTACGCATCATGATTCCCTAGATACAAGTGAAGTGCCTGCAAGAACCTTATGATATAGTTAGCGTACAGTATGATCCCTTCGCAACACATGTCCCGATTGAACTAGAGGCATTGGTTCACCGAGACCTCTTATAAAGTTCAATAACCGTGCGAACGTTCTAGGTATTATAAATCCGTTCGTGTGTGACTTAGGGAAACACATTTCCCTAATCACCCCACTATCAACTCTGACCAGAGATTCCTTGGATTATAAACCGTCAGAACACACAGGACATCCATGACTACACAAGCGCTCGAATCCCCTACTATAATGCACAGACTTCACACTAGATTTCGGATTGCACGAACGTTGGCCCTTGGAGTGGTCCGCTGTGGGACTCAGGGACATGTCACGATACAATCGGTCCTCTAGTGAAGTCACGGTGATGTCTGGGTCTTAAGGACTAATGGTGTACAACTATATCTTAGAAACCTATTACTCGATGAATGAGAACCACTTATAGATTTCTAGGGCGAGGGTGTTCAGTGAACTTATCCAGTATGAGCACCCACTCAAGTATGCCGATGTCACAACATCGAGGACTGATGAGACGCAATACACATACACTAAGTGCTAGTCTCAAAAGGGAAAGGCCGGTATCCTCATTATTGGCGTAACCCATCGACTAGGAATAGGGGTGTAAACGAGCCGAGCCGACTCGTGAGCTCGAAGAGCCGGCTCGTAAAAAGCTCGAACTCGAACTCGAGATTTTCGAGCTCGAGCTCGAGCTCGCGAGCTCGAGCTTTCTGATGAGCCGAGCTCGAGCCGGTTTTCAGTTGTTCATGAGCTCGCGAGCCGGATTTATTATTATTTTTTTTATTTTTTATATGTTATTTTTATTTAAATAATGTATAATAATGTAAAATATTATAGAAATAAATACAAATATTAAAAATATATATAATTACAATTTAGTTTTTATTTTTTATTTTTTTAAATAATTTTTAATAATAAAATAATAATTAAAAAAATATTTAAAAAAAAAAAAAAAAAAGACAATGGGCTCGAGCTCGTGCTCGACACAACTGACACGAGCTCGAGCTCGAGCCAAAAAAAGAGGAGCTCGCGAGCTCGAGCTCGAGCTCGAGCTCGACAAAATATACTCGAGCTCGAGCTCGAGCCAGCCAAAAGAGGCGAGCTCGGCTCGTTTACACCCCTAACTAGGAACAAGGTTTAACAGTTACATTACATTGCTGAGTTATCTCACGATTCTACTAGATCAACTCACAGTAATAGAGTAACTCGTTAGGACTATATCTATGCTGCTTGCATGGGATAAGAGATATAGAATGCCAAATGAAATATTTTATTATTACGAACGAAAAACGATTGTTTTATTACAAGGAAAAAGAGAAAGACCACAGCCACAAGTTGGCTTGTTGGTCACCTTCTCTAACAGTTGCATCCTTGACGGATATGATCGATGAGATCAACGTACTTGCTCAGTCGTACAGAACTGCCTGTGATCGATTTTCGAGGGAAGGCCAACAAGGTGTTAAGCTAAAGTTGATCAAAAGTTGTAGCACATATGGAAGGACTTACAATCTCCCTAACGTGAGTGAGATTGCAGCGTTGATAGTTGGAGATTTTGATACGCAAGAAGGGGTTAGAGGCATTGTGGTGGAGAGTCAGTCCAAGAAGTTGCAACGCATTAGTGAGCTGCACCCATTGTACCTACAGTTCCAGTATCCATTCATATTCCCTTACAGGGAAGACGACTATAAAGAGTATATTTGTTATAGAGTCTCTTTTCGAGGTAACAGTCGAAAACGAAAGAAATTAACCATGCGAGAATACTTTGTTTACCGAATACAAGAAATAAGCAGCGACAGACCAGTACTACTGAATTCAAAAAAGATTTTCCAACAACTTGGAGTGGACGTGTATTCTATTATTGAGTCACAAAGGTTGAATTTCATCACACACAACCAGGACTAGCTGCGTGCGGACATGTACAAAGGAATTGAAGAACACATTTTCAAAGGGGACACTGACGGCAAATCAGCTGGGAAGCGCATAATTCTGTCAGACTCTTTCATTCCTGGACCCCGATACATGTTCAACAATTTTATCAACGCACTTCGAATTTGTAACTAGATTGGCTTTTCATCATTATTCATAATTATTACATGCATTCCACAATGGCCTGAAATACAAAGGGTCCTCAATGATACAAGTCACAGACCGGAAGATGGCCCTGATGTTCTATGTCGCGTATTCAAATTGAAGTTGGACAGTTTAATGGCTGATTGCAAGAAGGGACATATATTCGGACGAGTTAGAGCACATAAGTGATTCCTATTCAAAATTTACTTTACAATAGATTCATTATAGCAAGCATCGTATTAAAGTATGCATATTAATTTACGTAATTATTTTTTATATGCAGACGTGTGTACTATTGAATTTCAAAAGTGTGGTCTGCCTCATGCGCATATATTGTTGTGGTTGGATAATGATGTCAAACCGAAGTGTCCGTCGACATCAACCGGATGATCTGTGCAGAAATTTCGGACAAAAAAACCGATCGAAGTATGTACTACATGGTTGAGAAATACGTGATACATGGCCCATGTTGTCATGCGAATTTGAATTCGCGTTGCACGAAGAATGGCGTTTGCACGAAGAGGTTTCCAAAGAAGTTTGTACAGCGAACTGAGGCCGATGCTCATGGTTACTCTGTATATAGGAAGAGGGATGCTGGAAGAACAGTTACGAAGAAGAATACTATTATGGACAATGGATCTGTGGTTCCTTACTATCATGCGTTATTGAGTAAATACCGAGCCAACATCAATATCAAGTTTGCAACCAAAGCAAGTCAATAAAGTATATTTTCAAGTACACCAACAAGGGACACGATCGTGTCATGATAGCATTTTCCAACCCCCGTCTGCGGATGCCTGTCCTGCTGTTCGTGATGAAATCAAGATGTACTATGAAAACAGATATTTGTCTACGTGTGAGGCAATGTGGAGGATATTTTCATTTGAGATACACTACTGGGATCCAGTCGTCATTAGATTGAGCTTCCATCTCTCCGACAATTAACCGTTGGTATTCAATGTGATCCAACCATTAAAGAGTGTCTTTGAAAGGCCAACCGCAAGGCAACCCATGTTCTTGGCATAGTTCGAGGCGAACAAGAAGTACCCACCAGCTACGGAGTTACGGTATCCCCAACGTTATGTGTACAAGGATGATTCACGGATGTGGGTGCCAAGAAAGAAGAGGTTTAATTGTAAGAGTCACGAATGTGCCCCTGACAAAGGGAGAATACTTTTATCTGAGACGGTTGTTCAACTTCCAAAGAGGGTGCAGAAGTTACGAAGATATCAGAACGATGGGTGGAATTGTTTACGCGATGTTTAAGGATGTGTGTTGTATTCTGGGGATGATGGAAGATGAAAATGAGTACATTGGTGCAATCAGAGGGGCGAACGGTTGGCCAAACGGCCACTTCTTGATACTGTTGTTCGTTGTTATGTTACTTTCTAATAGTTTGAACAGACCGGAACACGTTTGGGAGAATTATTGGTCCAATTTTTCGGTTGATATTACATAAAAGCACCTAAAGCGCCATTATAATCTAGGTATCGATTACTTTTGTGTTGTTTTACAAATTTTTAGCTGCATTTCTCATTTGTTCAGAACGCATTTGTCTTACTATGTATACCTTTGCAGGTTTGACTCTATCAAGTAATAGTTTGAAGAACTACGCACTGATCGAAATCGAGAAGATCCTATAGAGCAATGACAAGAGCTTGCAAAATTTTGACTCTCTGCTAATGTCTCTAGATTCGTCAATGGATGACACAGAGTTGGTACTCGATGAGTTGGACTACGACGACTTTGCGATTCCTAAAGAACTGAAACGATATCTATCTTCTATCACGGATAAGCATAGAAGGGTCTATGATGCCACCATGGATGCTGCATCGAAGAATTGCGACGGGATGTACTTCCTTCTAAGTGGAAATAAATTCACATGGAGAACGTTGTCCGCTGCTGTCCGTTTAAAGGGAAAAATATTTCTTAATGTTGGTTCGAATGGTATAGCATCGTTGTTGTTTCCCGGCGGCCGGACCGCTCATTCTAGATTTGGACTGCACATCATTGTGCATGATGGTTCCACCTGCAGCATTATACAGCAGAGTCCACTGGCAAAATTGCTTATAAAGGCAAGACTTATGTATGGGATGAGGCCCCAATGATGCATAAATATTGTTTAGAAGCGCTTGAAAAGACCATGAGATCTATCACGCATGTTCCCAAACCGTTTTGTGGCAAGGTGATCGTTCTTGGCGGAGACATCAAATTGATTTTACCTGTGGTGCTGAAGGCATCAAGGCAGGATATTATTCACACTACGATCAACTCACATCCACTTTGGAAAGACTGTAAGGTTCTTAAGTTGCATATGAATATGAGGCTTCAATCAAGCTCTAATCCATTCGAGCTTGAAGAAATAAATGAGTTTGCTGATTGGATACTGAGTATCGGTAATGGGGACGCGGGAGAGCAAAACGATTGTGAAGCGTCCGTTGAGATTCCCGAGGACATGCTAATTCCAGATTCTGAAGATCCATTATTGGAGTTGTTGAAGTTTGTGTATCCGGATTTGTTGAGTAACATATCAAATCCCGATTATTTCCAAGGGAGTGCAATGCTTGCACTGACTAATGACTGCGTTGAGTTTTTCAACAACTACTTATGTTCCCTCCTTCCCAGCGAAGAGAAGTTGTACCTCAACGCGGATTGTATGTGCAAGGATGAGATGAGTTCGGAAGAGAATGCTGAAATTTATACGACCGAATTCCTCAACACCGTATCTTGATCCAGACTTCCTTGACATAGACTGAATCTCAATGAAGATGTTCTTCTTATGCTCATACGAAACATCAATCAGGCGAGAGGCCTTTGCAATGGAACAAACTTCAATGTGTTAGAATGGGAGCTCATGCTCTCAGCTGCAAGTTTCTATCTGGCAAAAATATCGGTGATGTTCTTTTCATTTCTCGAATGACGTTAGTACCGTCGAACTCTACTTTTCCCATTAAGTTCCAAAAGACACAATTTCCATTGATGGTTTTCTTTGCAATGACCATCAACACGAGTCAGGGTCAAACACTTAACCAACGTCAGTTTGTATCTACCCAGACCTCTATTCAACCATATTCAGTTGTACGTTGCACTTTCGAGAGTCAAGAATAGATCTAGCATAAAGATCCTAATCAAATACGAATCTGGTGGATTGTCGAGTTCTACTAGCAACATGGTGTAGAAAGAAGTATTTCAGTGTATATGAAGGCATATCATGCATACCATTGACTATTTATCGTAGGAAGAATGTGAGATAACCCCGTAGTTTTGAAAATATATTAGAGGAGATCCCTGCCTTTTTTTCACCCTTTTTACTAAAACCCAAGTTTTTGATCTTAATTTGGCAGACCCCCTAGATAACTTGAAGTGACCGTTTTACCCTTTTAGTTTACCCTAAGCCCTCTAACACTCTTCCACTCACACGCCGCACACCCACAATCGCTCTCTGCTTCCCTCTAAATCTCTCGCCAGATCCAGATCCAGCGTCCATGTCTTCTCTCTTCCTGGGCAAAACACAGCTCCACCCTTTCTCTTCTTCCACCGCCGTCGCTGATGCCCTCCGCCGCCTCTCTCCCTCTCTTCGTGCATCACCATCGTTGACGCTCTCCGCCCTCTCTTCGTCCACCACCGTCGTCGATGCCCTCGCCACAATCAAATCGTCGAGCAAGGGTTCATTTCTCTCTTTCCGATTCTTCGTCTCCTTTGTTGCTAGATAATTTTGCCTTGAGCAGAAATAGCAAGATTTATTAGCAGATTGATTTCAAAATTGAAAAACTAGGGCGTGCTCAATTCATTTTGAAGTTAAAAGTACAGAGTTCCAAAAGTGGAGCAGTAGACCATGTTTAAGAATAAATACTATGGCTTTGATTTGCAAAATGTTTTCTAGGTTATTGTTCTGTTGCAAGTAGCCTTTGATGATGTGGATTCAATTTTAGAAAAATAAATCCTTCTGAAGGTAATCTTGATAGTGTAAATTATCTGAAAATATCGTAGATTTCCCGTTTACGAAGGATTTTTACCTTCCATTTTTAGAAGTTAATGTGGTCGATATGCTACAATGAAGCATACTAATTGTTTTCGATTTGGGGTTGTTGTGTTTGAATATTCTTGTAGCGAATTCGATGTTCGCTACAATATAGTGGATATCTAGTTATTCAGTTAGTATTTTGGTATTTTGGTATTTTCTTACTGTTGTTGCATCATGCAGTTGTTGCATGCAGCTTTTTCTTATAATTTTTTTTTGGAGTTTCATATTCCGTATTATAATCATGGTTTCTTTGCAGGATGGGCATGATACAGAGAATACTAAACAAAGTACTGCTGACATGCTGTGTTTGTGAGTTATATTCTATGAACTCTTATACTTGGTTGGCCAGTGTATTAGGTAATCTTCAGTAACTCGATGAAATTGAAAATAATATTCGTTTCTATTATAATAATAATACTAATAATAATAATAATATTAATAATAATAATAATAATAATAATAATAATAATAATAATAATAATAATAATAATAATAATAATAATAATAATAATAATAATAATAATAATCATAATCATAATAATAATCATAATCATAATAATAATCATAATAATAATAATAATAATAATAATAATAATCATAATAATCATAATAATCATAATAATCATAATAATCATAATAATCATAATAATAATAATAATCATAATAATAATAATAATCATAATAATAATAATCATCATAATAATAATAATAATAATAATAATAATAATAATAATAATAATAATAATGAAAAAAGGCTATTCTCACTGGTGAAGTCAATTGGTAAAACGTTGGTGGAAGAAGGTGAAAATTTTTGGTAATTCTCTTTCTAATCATCTTTAAAAGTATTATTATTCAATAACGCGTCTGTATCGGTAGTATTTAATTAAGGGAGTCGGCCGTGGTGAACTATGATAGCGTTTAGTATACGGACAGATAAGTAGGCTGTTTGGAGGAGTAAAAACGAGAGAGTTTGGCAGGAGGGATGTGAATAAAGCAGCACAATTCGACCCTCGTGGTCATCATTAGCCTAACACACATACGACCCCGGGGCGGTCC